GGTAAGGGGAAAAAATGAGAATCAAGACTTGTCATGTAGAGGTACAAGATCCCAACAATGAATGTAACTGTACTGTATCCCTAAAATGTACCAATAAACTCAAAGCTGAAAAAAAAACCAAAAAAAAACCAAATGGGACTATACCAAATTAAAAAATTTCTGCACAGCAAGGGAAACTAGTAACATAGTGAAGAGACATCCTAGAGAAGAAGAGAAAATGTTCACCAGCTACCCTTCTGATAGAAGGTAAAGATCTAGAATATATACCAAACTCAAAAACATAGACACACAAATTAAATTGTCCAATCAATAAATGGGCCAATGAATTGAACAGACACTTATCAGAAGAAGAAGTAAAAATGGACAATCAGTATATGAAAGATGTTCAACATCTTTAGCCATGAGGGAAATGTAGATAAAAACTACATTGAGATTTCATCTCAGCCCGGCAAGAACGGCTATTATCAAGAGTAGAAAAAATAGTAAATGCTGGTGTGACGTGGGGAAAAGGGAACATTTCCACACTCCTAGTGGGAATGTAAATTAGTATAGCCACTATGGAAATCAGTACGAAGGCTTTTCAAAAACTAAAAGTAGAGCGACCATTTATTTGATCCAACTATGCCGCTCTCTGGTATATAACGAAAGCAATTAAAGTCAGCGTATTATTGGGATATCTGCAGATCCATGTTTATTGTGCCACAATTCACAATAGCCAAGATAAGAAACCAGCCTAGGTGCCAGGAGCCTATGAACAGTTGAATATATAAAAATGTGATATATAGGGCCAGGGATTTGGCTCAGTGGTTCCGATGCCTGCCTTGCAAGCACAAGGTTCTGAGTTTGATCCCTGGTATCAAAATACACACACACACACACACACACACACACACATACACACACACACACACACACAGGCGCATTATTATTTGGCAGTAAGGAAGAAGTACATTTTTTCATTTGCAGGAAAACGGATGGAACTGGAGATAATCACACTGAGCAAAATAGGCCAGACTCAGATAACTATTTCATATTCTCCCTAATATGTGGAATCTTAAAAAGATGACATAAAAGTAAAGGGAGACTATTAGACAAGAGGAAAGGAATAAAGGAGGAATGGATATGATCAAAGTATATATACTTTGAAATCATATTTTGTAAAATTAATAGGGACTAACAATAGAAGAAAAAAATAAAAAGAAACACAGGAGAATAAAGATTAGGATACCATACATCAAAAAAGAAGGTGTAAAAATGAGAAAAAGTATAGGTAATGAAAAAAATCCTAACAGTGAATTTAAAGGTGTTTGGCAGAAGATATAAGATAGAGATTGGAAGCAAACTGACTACTCAGAAAGAGCGAAACTCTGGGGTTTTACAGTCATAGCAGTCCTAAAACACTAACCCTTAAAATGTGCAGTCTCAACTTTTTATGGGTCAAATTAGCATTCATTTTATGGTAATTTTCACAGCGCCAGCTCAAATAAACTAAATCATTTGTTTATTTCAAATGCTTGCTATGAATTTAGAAAGTGTATTTTGTATCTCAAAAATGTCTTTGTCATTGAAAAAGCATTTTAAAAAATCCAAATGGATGAGCTAAGTTGTTGGCATCTATAAAGATATAATTCATTTTTTAAAAAAATAAATCTGTTACTTAGAAGCTTGACTGTCATGACTTCTAATTCCTATAAAATTTGTTCCAAAAATGTTTCCAAGGTGGTGAAAAATATAATTACTTTCCTGTACTTTTATCAAATTTAATATCACATATAAAGTGAAATTAGCAGTTTAATCCTGTAGCCAAAAGAAATGAGAAATGAAAATAATGAGTGGTATTATTAATGACATATATTTATAGGGGAGCACAGCCTGAGGGACAAACTCGATCATTGTGCTGTTGTTCACACATATATGGGCATCAGACAGAGAGTGTGGCTGGTTAGAAGTATTCGGGGGATAATTACCTGCTTTAGGAATGTCTGTTAAAATGAGCTCAAGTTAGGAACAAAAAAAAACTTATTCCTTGGCAGGGAGTAGGCATTTTGAGAACTGGAGGACTAATTTGTTAGAAATCCTGAATAAAACAGAACCATCTATTTAATTGCAAATGTGGTGGCACAGTTTGGCACTGGGGAATAAACAGCCAGCTCTGGGATGTCTCCACCAAGGGAAAGACTGCCATTCTCTCCTGCTGCGGGGAGCCATGTGGAGGATTTAATGGCCTGAAGACTGAAGACTGCTGAGCGATCCTGTTTTGGGTGAATCACAACAAAGGTTTGGAGGCTGCCATCCTGGCAGGGCAGCCGGCTGCCTCCAGAGTGGAGTCTGCTTCTGAAAGTTCCGTGGCAGTCTCAGAGTCTGCTGGGCTCAGGGTGGTGGAGGAGGACCCTCCTACAGTATCCTGTACCCAGAAACATAGGCAGAGTAGCAGCACAGGCCTGTGGACTGCTGTGATTGCTCAGGAGGACAGCACACATAAGACACACAAGAAATGCTTGGGCTGGGAGTAGTTTACAGGGGTTGGTGCTCCACCTTACCATGTGGGTGCTTGTGCTAAGAACATGGGCTGAATTACTCATGGATCTCATGTGTTTTTATTAATAAGGATGGAGGAAATTTGAATGCATAACATAAAGTGCTATATATCATTCTCTGATTCCAAATCCAAAAAGCATGGCTTCTGATAGGTCTGAACCAAAGGAAAAGAAGACAAGAAAGGTGAATATTTTGTGTGGACTAACGATCTTCTCCTTCATTCAAATATTGGGACAATGAACAGAGATGTCCCAATTTCATTTTTTATAGCAGTACTATTTAATGCATTTGTAAGTCAGTCTCACATTTAAGAAGGCATTGCATGTTTTTTGTGCTTCTTTTCTTGCTTCTGGAAACCAGAAGAAGAAGAGTTTTTCTGTGTAACCCTGACAGGGGCAAGGCCTGTTCCACTTGGCCCCAGGGACAGTTTCTCCATAGCCAGTAAATGGATAAGATGACCAGGAGCGAGAGAGGCATGGTTCTGCAAACTGAAAAATGTAGAGTAGAAGGAAGCTTACAGCTCATCTAGTGAATCCAAACACTTCGTCTGCCAAGTGAAGAGACACTGACTCACCCAGCCCAACTGACCTTATATAAGTTTGCAAGTCAACTAGTAGCAAAGCAGAAGATCAAACATATCCCTCAATATTTTAGACCTCACTTTCCCCATATCACATATGTCTCGTGAAAATACTTAGAAATAATTGTTAGAACATGTCCAAAGCTCAGCCTTTGCTCTGTACCTTGCCGTGTGCTCTTTTCTATAACTTCTGTATGATCAGCAGGGAGATCCGCGTTGGTTATTGCAGCCAGGGACAGGTAGTTAGACACGTTCCTGCACAGTTCCTTGCAGCTTCTGTGGAGGAATTTCACTGCAGTGGGGATGGCCAATGCCATGACGGGGAGCCGGTTATAATTCTGAGCAAGTACAAGAACGCAACAAATAAGTGACTCGTTATCCTTTCACTTGTTAATTCTTCCAAAAACATTTACCCAGCTGAGCTCCCAGAATACAGTTGTGAAGTATACGTTCTGTCCGGAAACTCTTAGTCTCGTTTGGGAGACTTACAGGGAATGGGCAGATGAAAGCATAAGCCGGTAAGGGCCATGACGGGCAAAGTGAAAGGTGCTGAAGGAGTCAAGAAGCGTCTAACCTAGTCGGTGGTGTTGAGAAAGACTTCCCGGAGGAGCGGATGTCCTACCTGAGACCTGAGGAATGAACAGGAGATGGCTGAGTGATGGCGGTGTGAGGAGTGGAGAGGAAGAGCCAGTGTGATGGTGCGGAGGTGAAGCAGCACTTCGAGCACTTTGGGGAGCTGTAAATAGCTCGTAGCTGCTGGAGTGTGGTGTGTGAGGGGGAACGAGTGGGGCGGTGAGAGAAGGGACGGAGAAGTAAACAGCAGCGTGACGATGAAAGGTCAGGCATGCTAGGCCAAGGACTTTGGAATTAATCTTAAGGGCGTTCAGAAGTCCTTGCGGAGAGGGGCAACTCATCAGATTGACACTTTCAAAAACAACCAAAGGAATGCGGAACAAGTTGCATTCTGACTGTATCTTAAAAACTACAGTGGTCTTAGAATCAACCAAGGATGAGTGGATAAAGAAAATGTGCCATAATTCACCCAATAGAATATTATTTAGCCATAACAAAGGAGGTCACAACTGCAACAACATGGATGGAATTGGAGGCATTAAGTGAATAACCCAGTAACAGAAAGACAAATACTGCATGTTTTCACTTGTACAAGTACGTGGAAGCTAAAAATTCTGATTCCATAGACACAGGTACTACTGTGGTTTCTAGGAGGTAGAAAGAGGATTGAGGGAGATCGGATAACAAAATACAGTTATAAGGGCAGAATAAGTTCTAATGTGCTGCACCATAGAAAGGTGACTATATTCACACCAATTTATTGTCTGTCTTACTAAGAGCTAGAAAAGAGGAGCTTGAAGTTTCCAACACAAAGAAATGATAACTATTTAAAGCGAAGGAAATGCTAATCATCCTAGCTTGCTCATTACACATTATATGCATGTGCTGAATTATCAATTCCACCCCATTAAAAAGGTAAAATTGTTAGGTGTCAATTAAAAAAAAAACAAGAAAAATACAGTATGAACATAAAACTAAAAACTGAAGAAATCTTGGATCCTAAAATAATTATTTTCTTGAATTATTTGGGACTGAACTAAAAATCTACATATAATGTACTCTGTTAACATTTAAAATAATATTTGGAAAATATAAGTTGTTTTCTTAAAAATGAATGGTACATATTCACTACTATCCACTCCTCACTTCAGACTGACTCTAGGCAAAAGTTGCACAGTGTAGAATATACTTGAGAACTCACTTTATATTATTAGATTGTAAATAAATAGGGGTGTTATTCTCTAATTATTCCTGGGAAAAGTATTTCTCTTCCCACCCACCAATTATTCCCTTGAGTACCTCCCACAATTCCGTATTTATGTTAGGTCCTTAATAAATAACTGAAATCGAATAATAATAAAACCTATATCTATGGTGATAGTTGTCTATGGGAACGTAATATAGTGGAAAAAAATCAACTGGAATATCTAATTTCAGCTCCACTACCATCTTGCTGGGTGGCCATGGAGACATCACCCAACTCTCTGGGTCTCACTTGCAAAAAGGATAATCACCATCTGTTCCAACCTCTGATAAAAAGATCCTAAAACAGACATGATATCAACTTCCAGGCACAGGAAGGCTGCTGAGGGACTACTGACCTTGTAAAGAGGGCCATGTAATGATCATTATCCAAATGGAGGTAAATATTTAGACAGTCACTATTTAGATTCAATTTATTATTGTTACAACCCACCACCCCAAATCTCAGCATTACTAGTTTCTTGCCCAATGTCTACTCATCCTTTTTTTGGAGACTCTACCATAACACTTCTTTGGGGAGCTAAGTACTTCTAATGACAGCATTTCCAGGAGTAATTAAGTGACCTAGACGCTGGCCTGTCAGAGAAGCACATCTCCCTGGTCCAAGTGATGGGTTCAAGGGCAGGCAAGTAACTAAATTATAATTGTGGAGTCAGGAAAAGGCTCTCTGAAAGGAATTCTCTCTCTTTTGCTTGATTCAGATGTCAGGAAGGATGGATTAAGAATAGCTGCTGAAATCATGTGACTTTAGTCATTAAACACCTGCAAGAAATTAAAAGAAACATAGATCTGTCTAAGAGATCAATTTAGAGATATCAGGTCCAGGTTCTGGTAATATCATTTGCACTTCCTGCTCTAAGTTATGCTGGGGGCCAGTTCTTTCCCTGCATTTTTCTGAATAAGCCAATTAAATCTATTGTACTTAAGCTCCTCTCCTCCCTTATCACTAAAAACAAAAATATACCTGATGCATCTTTAATCTATTCCTGTACTTTTATCTATTTTCCAGACCGATGGGTCAACCTGACCCCTAGGAAGAGAAAATAGGCATTCTACAATATCTCTTGATATCCCACTATTAATGACTTGTCAGATATTTTGAAAGCTCCAACCCTATTGTTGGTGGCAATCAAGTCTATACTGCAGTCCTATTCAGTGGATCTCTGTTCATACGCCTTAAAATTCTTAGCACAAAGTATTAGGACTATGGCCTACAGCCAGACCTTCCTGATGGCTTCTCTGAATGCCTTTGTTAGATCCTCTCCCCTCACGGTGAATTAAACTGGGCTCGACTGGGCAGGCCATTATGGATATGATGAACTATGAGCTCTTCCTGGGAGGCTGGCTGCTCCCCTCTCAGGCAACCGGGCATACGCCTGGTCATACCGCAGAACTGTTTGGCTCTATGGACACTAATCCACATCAAAGAGTTTCCAAAAGGTTGGTGCATAACAGTCCTGCCGATGTGCTCATTCACAGCAGGAGGCTTTTCTAGGTCAGACCTTGAGCATGCTTTGCACATCATTAGGATACCAAGAAGCCAGACTACAAACAAACCAGGGTGTTCACTCATGGGCACACAATCAATCAGACCAAAGAGATACCAAGGGATACCTCATCAAGGTTATGGTGATTAAAATAACACTTCTGCCCTGAAACTGAATCTCCATCTCTAATGACCAGAACTTTCTGCTCATCAAATTGAATCTCTGTGCCATCTTCAAGCACTGCTGAGTAAACCTGCAAAATAATGATCCCTTACAGAGCAATCTCCTTTTGTTAACATACTCCTCAGACATGTGGCAGGTAAGAAGGCTAATTAATTGGCTATTTTTCTCAATTATATTCTATCTCTCTGCTCCTTTGAGGCTACATTGAAGTTATTTCAATAAGGCCACTTAGCTTCACCTTGGGCTGCTCCTATGGCCAGCCAATTTTTCCATTACATGTAGATTTTTGATAGTTTGACTTTTTTTTTCTGGTACTGGACAACTGTTTTCAGAACTTTCCCCCACAGAACTCCATGCCCAAATTTACCTTATCTACTGTGCATCTTTTGCCAAGAACAAGCTGCAGGTAGAGAGATGCATGTGTTCCATTAGAGGAATATGTCTTCAAGCATATTTACCTGTAGCTTGCTGAAAAACCAAAGGTGGTGGCAATAAAAGTGTATCCTACTAATTGAACACATACAAGCACAGTAAAAAGCTCAATGGAAATCAGTATTCCCAGCAACTGAAATGTTTTAACCTTGGGATGAATTAGCGATTTGCAGCAACAATGAAAGGACAGGCTGTCTTTACTAACTAGATTACATTCTTTTCTGAACAATTCTAGATATTCTGGAGAAAAATACCCATCAGCTATTAAAGTCTCTAAAGAATGGTTGCATGAAAAATGTATAAACTCCCCTCCCCCAAGTGTACAATGTCATTATTTTTTTTAAAAAAATTTAATACACTAAATTTTTCTGTTTTCCTTCCAAACATGCTATTTGCAATTCTCTCATATGACCCAAAATTGAAACATTAAGCCAAGAGAAAATGGTTTATATAAACACGAGGGAATTGCCACCAAAGGCTTTCAATGTCCCAAAAGTGTCAAGCAGTTCCTGGCATGTCACGAGGCTATGGGCACCGCTGAAGGCAACAGGATGTGAGTAAGGGGCTGGGAGGCCAGGCTGAGACTCAGGAGAGGAGGCTCCCACGGACTGAGCTGATAATAAACAACTTCTCCCAAGGGCCATGCTTTGCTCTCAAAGGCGGCTAAAGACGTTGCTAACACAGTAGATCTTAGGCTCATGAAATTATTCTACCTCTAAAATTATTTGGATGAAAGAAATGCAGATGGAACACAGACAAAGAAAGTCCTGCTGTTACAGTCTTACAAATGAGCCGCTGTAACAGCAACCGATGATGCAGAGCTGTGCCGGACCTGGCCCTCGGCACAGACGTGAGCATGTTGGTAAGGGCATCATCTTACACATAGTTCAGGGCTCAGGGAACGAGCTGACGGAAGCGCAGCATAGACATAAACTCTTGCTAGTTGCGACAGTTATATTGAGCTGCACAGGTAAAACAAGAGGGCCTTGTCCTACAGCTGCCAAGAATTATATTTCTAACTAAATTAGCACAAGTTTGAGCTTTTGCTGGAGATTTTCCTTTTGAAAATGCACTTCGGGAATGTTTCCGGTGTTTTAAAAATGAAAAGAACACAGCTAACTAGAAGAGATATCTGAGGTGATAGAACTAAAAAGCTCTTTGGCTCTCAGGTCTCGACTACAACAAAAGAGCTATAAAAATGATTAAGATCAAGAAATATTAGACTGCATTTATTGAAATAGAGTTCTTTGGCTATTCATCCAGCATCATCAGTCAGTCAAACTAATTTCGGATTTACATAAAAAGTGTCTGATTCTTTCCAGCACGGCTATATATAAAATCTATCTGGCACATGCACCTAAATTTTCCCGGTGGATTTTTTTTTTAATATATATTTCTTTCTTCTGTTCCATACACAAGGTACTTTGTAGCAGTTGTACTGTGTGAACACTTTATGTGCCACGTATCACCTTTAACCCTCACAGAAGTTTTGGGAAGTAAGCAGGTACTCTTGTCTTTGTTTTGCATACGGCAGAACAAATATCAAAACAGAACTTATGTATGCATCCTGTACATGTATACTGATTCTAACTGAGGAAAGAATAAAAAGGTAATTATGCAATTTAAAAAATTATTTTAAGGTCAATGTGGCAAGCTCATAAATAGAAAGACCAAAAAAAAAAGAAGAAAAAAAAGAAAAAGAAAGGATTCAATATAATTATCAATTAAAACAGATATAGCAATAGATACCCAAAGCAAGTTTGTATGTAGCCCGAAATAAAGTAATTTAAAAGGAAAAAGAGAAAAGTGTGTGCATTCACATTTAGCTTAAAATGACAATGAAATTGTAAATTTAAAAAATCTAATTAAATGCCTGAGGGTGTGCAAACAGGAAATGGCTAGGTGCTCATATGATTAGACGTTAAGATGCTGGGTTTGTATATCTTAGAAAGTGGGGTGGGATGGATAGGACATTTTTTCTTCGTTCTTTTCAATTTTCATTTTTTGAGACCTAGAAACTATTGAAAGTTGGTCTACTGCTTTATTTACTGAACAAAGTAAACAAAATGAGTCCTTGGAATTTCTGCATGGTGCTTACAAAACTTTAAATTACTAGTGGTATAAATTATTTCAGTGTTTACCATAGGCAAAAAGTTCCCGTTAAAGAGCGATGAAAGCTGAACGCAAATCCTGTGATCTCTACCACTGACTGGCTGACTTTCTGGGAGTGCATCCCAGAGGAGCCTTACTGGGAACACTTTCGCCTTTGGAGCTTTCAGCTTTCCTCTCCTGTGGCCTCTGCCTCCTTCTGGGGGCCCGGACGGAGCCTCACTCCTGCGCTACGCCTGCAGGGTGGAGACAGCCACGTCAGTGACTCACTTTTCTCTCTCAACAAAGAAGCCTGTTCTTCAGCTCTTCTCTCTTTCCTTCCTCCAAAATCTCAGTCCTTGACCTCTTGACCCCTCTCTCAGTAAACTCACAGGCCTACTTACATTGACAGTCAGTAAGTTTGCTATTTCTATTTCTCAAAAGCATTTTCTTTATTTCTCTTTTTCACATAGGAGACCTAATGCTCTCACCCCCCAGAAGAGAGCGTCCCTTTATACTGGAATTGTAGACATTTTGGAAAGATATCACACTTACAATTTTCTGACTCCTATTTCACAAATCTGTACTGATGCACAAGCTAGTTTTGTGCTTAGAACGCTCTCTTGCTCTGCCTTGCCTATCTGGCAAAATTCCTGCTCATGGCTCAAACCTTTCCAAATACAATGCGCATCCAGAAAACTTTTCTAGTCTCCAGAACTGGGCTGACAGAGGAGCCATGAATCCCTCAGAAGTTCACAAGCATTTAAAATGTAATTGGTGAAAACTAAGATGTGCTAAAACATACCAGACAGCATTAAGAAATAGAAACAATCTCATTGTTACATTGATTGCACATTGAAATGACAGTGTTTGCATATATTATGTCAAGAAAAATAGATTATCAAAATCAATTTCATGGTTTTGACTTTTTAAGGTGGCTAACTGAAAACTGAAAAATTAAACGCATAGCTCGTGTTTGTGGCTTACATTAGATTTCGGATGGTTAGTGCTGCTGTAAAGTCTAGATCACTGTTTTGAACCTGTAGAGGGAGCTGGAATATAGGGCTGATTTGTGAATACACATCTGTCTCAATGTCTGTGGAGCGGCTCTTCGGGGTGAAATGATACATATCAATGACATATTTAAAGAAACCTTTGAGGAACAGATGTACTAGGTCTTTGCTGTGTCATCGCAGCAGCATTAACCTTGCATCAATGGACTGAAATCCCCGTGCTTCCCCAACTCACCCTCAACCCCAGGGACAAGAGAGAAACAGCATGATGATCTGTGTAGTTTTTTTGTTGAGTCAACCAGCCCTACAGCAAACAGATGAAGTAGAATATGCCCCAGTTAAGCATGAACAACTGTGATGGAAAAAGAAGAAAGGAGACTAATATTGTGCTCTACATAGTGCTAAGCAGTTATATAGCTCAGCCAGACTTTCATAAATTGTACTCACTGGGACTTAGTGGATTCTGAGAGATGTCCATAAACGCTGTGTTGAGGATGGGTAAGAAAAAGGAGGTTCTATGGTCAAATTTGATTGGAAAATGCTAGACTAAAAAAACTTAACTAGTGTTTTGAAAAAATTAACAGACTTTTCAAAGTCTTTACTATGCTAGGAAACACTGTGACAACTCAAAAGGAAACATTGTATTCAGTATTCGCCAACTTATCTGATCACCGAACTCTTTTTAAAGAAATACCTATCAACATCACTAGTTGGTAAAATCTGTGACATTGTCACAATGTCACTTAATCTACGTTTTACAGAAGAAAAATTTCCTTGGGTAGCTAAGTGACTTGGCTTGTCTTTCAATGTTATACAACTGCTTCGTGGGTGAGGCAAAACTTCAAATTCTCAATTACACTAGAGGAAGGCATGAAATGTGATCAGAATAGGGAAATAGCATGAAGGATTCACAAAGCATACAGAGATTCACTTTAAAATGACTTAGTCACTTCCTCCCATGTATCTCAAGATCCTCACTTCCTGTTCTTCCTGTTCTACTCTCTCTTTGGTCTCCTTGGATGAAAGAGGTCTCCTCTTGTAAATACCCCAGTACTCCTCCCTAGGATCTTGGCACATATTGCTTGATTATTCTCTTTTCGTATGTGCATACCTTCCCTCTCCAAATAGACTAGGGGCTTGTTGCAGAATTACTTTGAATTCCCTACAGTGTGTCTTGCACATAAAAGGGGATTAATAAAATTTTCTCAATTTATTAATTACCATCAGTAGCCGACTTAGCTACTTATAGTTTATGATGTTTTTTTTACAATATCTAAATGGTGCAGAAGGATTGACTTTTGGTTCAGAGACAGCATATGTTCAATGGGCGGCCAACCCCACATCAAATTGCTTGCTGTTAAACACTGGCCTACATGTAAAATGCAGCTCATGATATCAGATGCAATTTTTGCATGAGGAGTATCTTCGTCTTTGCCAGGAGGTCTTAGGTTGTGTTCCAAGCAGGAGTCCCAGAGCCCCACAAGAGCCTTGGCATGCTTTTCAATGGGTTCTGTTTCTCTGATAGCTGTTGTGATTCTTGTGATACAGATTTCAACCACAGCCTGGTGGTTGTTATTGGTTTGGTAATCCTATTTGGAAAGAGAACCTCCATGTTAAATAACACTCTAGAAAGTGATCCTTCAAAGTATGCAACACTAGCTAGGTCATTCAGAGAGCAGGTTGGCCATGCAGTGTGCTATGGAGTAAGGCTGTAGAGCCCAATAACAGCCTTCTTCCTAAGAGATGGTAATCGTTTAGAAGAGATAGATGTGGAGCACGTTCATAACATCACAGGGGAGAGCAAGGAGAGTTCAAAGGAGTGCAAGTGCTCACCAGCAGTGGGTTTAATCTTAAGGACACTTCAGTGCTTAAATTTATTAATGGCAAAGGGTTGCTTTGTAGTCTGACATTTCAGTAACATTCATGACGTTTTATAAATGACTTTCCAGTGTCTCTCTCTTTGGGGACACACTAGAACCTATCACTGCATTTCTCCCTTTTCAACTCAAACTTGGCTTTCTTCACCGAAATTTGCCTCCTTTCTCTATTGTAGTTCTCTCTTAGAAACCTCATCCACTTTACCGAGAAATAACACACCCTCTGGAATGTCTAAATGTAAAAACAAAAGGCTTATTACTTTACTCTGGAAAACTGGTCTATGAACCCCACACGGGTGGCTCACAAAACTGAAAACAGAACAGCAAAGCATCAGATCCTTACATCATCACGTGCAATTACAGATGGGAGGTGACTGGGCTTTTTTCTATCCACCTTCAAGATCCTGCTCTTAACTTTTTTTCTTTTTTAACTGCTAGGACATATGGGCCATTAAACACTTTATGCATGAATTTTGTTTTAAATCATAGGTTGTTTGTAGCCTAGATTTTCCAAAAGTGGAAATTTCTGAGATAAAGGACAGGAGTATTTTCAAGGACGTTCATGACATACTGTTTTAGAAAAGTCTTACTCTGATCAGCTGTATGAAAACATGTCTCCCCTTTGTGTCTTTGAAAGAACACAATATTTTAAATTTTTGCTAAGTAGGTCAGTGAAAAACAATATCTAATTGCTGTTTTATGTAGAAATTTCCTTGATCCACTTGGGCATGGTGGCACACACCTGTAATCCCAGCACTCAGGAGGCTGAGGCAAGAGGATTGCTGTAAGTCTGAGGCCAGCCTGGGCTACATAGTGAGTTCAGGGCCAGCCTGAACAACAAAGGGAGACCATGACTCAAAAAACAAAAAACAAACACAAACAACAACAAAGAAATTTCCTTGACCCAAAGTGAGGTTAAATGCTTTTTCACCTGTTCACTGGCCACTTGTAATTCCTTTTTTGAGAATTGTGTCGATGTCTTATATCTGTTTATTTTTTCCCTTGGATGACTTCATTTTCTTTTTGGTCCTCTTTGGTGCAGTATCTTTTTTTCAATTCAGGGTATTAATTTGACATTTGACATTTGGGTTGCGAATATGTCTGCACATTTATTATTTTATTCTAATTGTTTGCTGCTATTTACAGACATGGTAAAATTTTAGATAGTCAAATCTATCAATCTTTTGAGTTGACACCATTTTTTCTCTTTTACATTGAACATTTAAGTTGTTTAAATGATTTATTGATTTAAAAAGCAATACAAAGACGTAGTGCTGGCTGGGTATAGTGGTGCACACCTGTAATTCCAGCACTCAGGTCCCTGAGGACACATAATGGGCTCAAGGCCAGCACAAACTAAATAGTGAGACCCTGTTTCGGAAAACCAAAACCAGTGAGAAAGGTAGGGGAAAGGAAATAAGGGGAAAGAAAAATTATGAAAAAAAGAAAAAATGGAAACAAAGTCTTTGTAATTAGGGAAGGGTGAAGTGGTTGAAGGGAGGGCAGGGAATGGGGAAAAAACAAGAACCAAGATACGTCATATAAAGGTCCAAGATCCCAGTGTTGGATGTAACTGTATTGTTTACCTTAGATATACCAATAAATTTAATGGGGGGGAACAAAGTACAAGGCATAGTGCAAAAGTAAAAAAGACACAAGGATTGGTTTGTAGTGAAATGTCAGTGTCCCTTTAACGCCTGACCCTCATCCCCTCTCCCCTGTACCCTTCCCTGGCAGAAGCCATGCTCGACAGTTCCTTAGGTGCCTTACAGTGGGTGTGAGGTACACGCACAGATTATCTGCATATTCTTTCCATGTGATCCCTTTGACAACTTTTTCCCTGTGTTTTAGAAATCCTTCGCTAAACTTTTAACATTTGTTATTTTAGAAATTAATCTTTTAGCCATTCACTTAGTTTTTAGATCTGTTTGGTACTTGTGAAAGTAAAGAGGTACATTTTCTTCTAAATAGCTAATTTAGTATTGCTACCATTTTTACTGAAAAATTCATTCCTGGGTGGTCGTTTTACACACACAAGTTTCTATTTCAGATCTGACCTTTCCATTTTCTTGTTACTTTTTTCAATTCTACCACAGTACTAATTTTGCCACTTTCTTTAAGTTCCATCAAATTTTAAGGCTGCTTCTTAATATATTTTACGTTTGTTGTTGTTGTTTTCTAACAAAATCTCTTTTTCCCCTTCATTAGGACTTTGAATAAGTTATTGCTGATTAAATGAACTTACTGCTTTTGTTGTTTTCTTTGTTTTCCAGTGCTGGAGATTGAATCTAGTACTCACACAAGCTAGGCAAGTTCTCCTGTACGGAGTGACAGTCACTAGACCCCCTATTGCTTTTTGTATTTATTTTGCATCCAGTAATTCTCAATTATAATTTGTTTTCAAACCATTCTCTTGGGTTTTTCTAGAAAAAAATTTTTCTGTATTTTATGCAGTCTTGCTGAGGTCCATACCCCTTTTTAAAAAATTGAGTTTACTGGTACATTTTAGGGATACAGTACAGTTATATTCATCATTGGGATCTTGTACCTTTACATGACAGGTCTTGGTTCTCATGTTTTCCCCTTGTCCCTGTCCTCCCTTCACCCCCTTCCTCCCCTCCCCATTAACAAACTCTTTATTACCATTTTTTCATGTTCTCATATTTTTTCTTTTCCCTTATTTCCTTGCCCCTACCCTTCCCACTTTCCCTACCTTTTAATATATCTCAAAGCTTATTTTGTCAGCTAGAATTTCTTGAGCTATTTTTTTCCACATACAAGTGATTAGATCAAGAATGTTGGCTTAGTTCCTGGTTTTTGTTATAAAATTTTATGGACCAAACCAAGAAAATACAGTAAATGTTTTAAATAATATAGGCTGCATTACTTTCTTCCTATTTTAAAAAGTTTACGTATTGATAATTTCTTTAGTAAGCATAATGCTGCATTTCTGAGGTAAGACAAATATAATAATTTTAATGTTAAAGAAGTATCAATCTATTTCTATTTTATTGAGCTTATTTTTAAATCAAGAATGAATACCAAATAGTTTCTCTGGTGTGAATAAACTGTAATAGTACATAAGATCCTAATAAGATTACTGACATTGTGAAATGGGAAGAAAGGGGCTAAAGGTGTAGGGAAGGTGGGATGGGTAGGGGAAGGGCAATAAGGGAAAAGAAAAAAATGTGAGATAATGAAAAGATGGAAATAAAGTGTTTGTAGATGGGGAGGGGAAGAGGGGGTGAAGGGAGGGCAGGGACAAGGGGAAAAAATGAGAACCAAGACCTGTCATGTAAAGGTACAAGATCCCAATGATGAATGTAACTGTACTGTATGCCTAAAATGCACCAATAAACTCAATGAAAAAAAAATAACAAAGCAAATTTCATTAAATGCCTTTTTTAGTGTCTATAGATATTTTGTTTTTGTCCTTAGAATTATCACTGTGATAAATCATAGAAGCAAATTTTATAATATCAGTGAACTTTACAGTCCTAGAATATATCTTACTGGATCCTGGGAAATAAAATTTTAATGTGCTATTGGATTCTGTTTTTAATATTTTATTTAAATTTTTTGTGTCAATATTTGGTTTTTATGTCAGTCACATTTTATATCAATTTATGTTAATTTTGTAACAGGATTTGGAAGATTTATGCTATCACCTTACTTTTAAAAAAAGTTATGTGTTATAGCCCAGGAGAAGTGAATAGAAGTTTTCTGCAACTAATATGTCTGTTTTTCCTAACATATCCTGGATTTTTTGTTTTGTGAATGCTGTTGCTATAGAATTTGGTATCGGGGATGGAACTCAGGTCCTTGATCTTGTGAGGCAGGTGCCAGAACCACTGCCTTAAATCCCTGGCTTGTTGCTATAGAATTTGATCCATAGGTATTCTTAAGCTTTATAACTCTTGCGACTCAAAGCCTCTGGCGTAAAAATACTGTTTTGATCTTACTTAACCCTTGTTAGCATGGACATTTTCCTGTGTCATATAAAGTTCATTATTTCTGCTTCCTTTGTTTATGTTTGCCTAATGTTATTTTCCCATTTTATTCTTATTTTAAATTTCTTTTATAGTCTATATTGCATCAAATGAATGGGTGCTAACCTTTTTATATAAGTTGGTAAAAAACAGTTAAGTGGCCATTATTCAACGTTTTTTTTGGGGGGGTATCAGAAATTGAACTCAAGATCTTGTACTTTGCCAGGCAGGTGCAGTGCCACTGATCTACACTCTCGGCCCTATTCAATGATTATTACTAACCAAAGGCATGTCTAGCATGTGATATATACAAAATAAAGTGGTATTATTTGATTAATCATTGGACTTCAAACTATTGTATCATAATCAAGAATTTAAACATAGCGGGGCTACCTATAGACTCAACAGATCTTCATTTGAAAACAGAGGCTGTCTCAGCAAGTAAGTGGGCAAATTGCTTTTAACAATATTTAGCATGAAGAAAAGATTTCGATTCAGCACTGATTTTCTCTTATGGTATACCTTTTTGCACTTTATGTGGTAATTTTGTATGGTATAAAAAATAATAGCCTGTAAATTAGGTCAGCATATGTGATATCATTTTACTTTAAAATTACTCAGTGTCATTTGAGTTATCAAAAGAAACTTTCCCTGTAGGATGAACTTGTCATACTGAGCTAGTGATTTCAAATGTAGCTGAGATGGACGGACTGTGCTAGACAC